AATGATAACAGGAGCACCTCATTGGGCCAGCAGTGTTTTACACTCTTCTCACTCAGGGAGATTGACAGCCATTCCTCCCCAATACCGCCCCCAAGTAAGTGAACATCATTTTAATCGACTGCCCATAGTAACAGTCAAGGCAGTTTTGCAGCTTCCAAGATCAGCACGTAGTGAAGTCTTAAAGAACGTTTCACACTGGCCATTAAGCATCCGGCACAAAACTGAAGCAACACAAGAAGAGAGCAATTCCCTGGAAATATGGATCATGTTTTGCAGTCAGCTGCAGATAAAATAACTAGTTTCCTCTATAACCAGCAATTATCTGCAGGGTGCTGAAAATTCTCTCCCTAGTTTTCTAAGTGTATCTCTGCAAGAAAGTAGTTAATGACTGGACTCCATGCAGTGTTCTTTTCTAGTGACTGAATATCACTATTGCTAAACTGTTTTTTTTTTAATGCATAGGGTATATAACTGCGTAGAAAATCAAATGATATTTCCATAGAACTTTATTCACGATGTATGTGGCTCTCTGGATTAAAGCTTATTATAATAGTTTTATGGATCCATAGCAGGGATTGCCTATAATTCATTAACCAAGCAAGAGATAAATAAATCAGTTATTCAGTGCCACCTAGCCTAGGTTTTTTTTTCTCAGGGGGTCTACATAAATGTTAATGCTTTTTACTCTGTCTCCTTTTTAACAAAGGGAAACATGCATCTTAAAAGCTCACTGAAGCAGAAGCAAAGAGTTTTGTTTGATAGACATTTGACTCCTATAGCCAAACTTGAGTTGTCTCTTATAGCTGGCTGGTACACAGAAATATTTCCTTTCTCAGGCTGAGAATAGCAGCTCAGATATCTCCATAGTTAATGGCTACCTTTTCTTTGCTGTTTCCGTCCTGGGGATCACCTGAGACATAGGTGAAAAAAGCAGGTCAAATGAGATCATATTTCTAAAAATGTATTATATGGGAAATAATTTATAATTAAAATAACTGAAAATTAATCTTTTATAGAGAAACTACATAAAGAAGAATTCTAATTTGAAAAAGTGTCAGCCAGATTTACATAAAACACCGCTTATGACATTTTCCTTTGTTGTCTCATGTGATAGACCTGTTTCTTGTTTTGAGAGCTATCTTAATATGGATTCGAAGTCAAGTCCATTCATATTTATATGAGAGGGCTTTTGTAAGATCATGTATGTATGGCTATGAATAGCAAAGAGAAATATTCAGCTAGATATTAACCTCATATCAACTCCTAGTTAGTATCTGATAGCTCCAAATTTGCATGACATGTGATAAATTATTTCTTATGTCAGGCAAAGATGCATTAGTGTTGGCAATCAGTAATATTCATTAGCCTCGTTTTCTACACAAAAGTATATTAGGGAAAGATTAGCTGGTTTAAGTTCTCCTTTTGCTTATGGATGCAGATTGTTTGTGATTAGTGAGAGAAGGATTGTGTGTAATTCTGAAGTGGTGAATTATCCAAAAGAAATGTATTTCCTAAGTTTAAGTTTCCTTCCTAAGAAGCTGTAGTTTTTGATAATGAAAAATATTTTGTTTAGCAAGATATGCTTAGAGAGCTATGGCACCTCACCTATCACATGACCTCACTAAGTAATAATCCTTCTCAGGGGTTTGAGAAGGCCAGGCTGGAAGACCACAAGGAGATTGTTACTGTGAACATAATTTCTTGTGAGAGGTGAATTGGTAGTTGTGTCTACTATGTTTGACTCCTACACAAGAAATAGCTGAAAATGTCTACAGACAAAAGGCTTTTTAAAAGATACATCCCATTGCTGCTGTCTTTCACTCTGGATGTTTGTATTGTATTTTGTTATAAGAGTCTGAATGAATGTTGAAAAGTAAAACAAATACCGTACAATGGAAAAGTGGCAGACACACTTTGGCTGGCACACTGAGGGTTGGTCCACACTGGGGTGGGGGATCGATCTAGGAAACGCAACTTCAGCTACGAGAATAGCGTAGCTGAAGTCGACGTTTCCTAGATCGATCTAAGTTTACTTACTGCAGGTCCACGCGGCGCAGGCAAGCTCCCCCGTCGACAGCACTTCCTCCTCTCGGCGAGCAGGAGTTCCGCAGTCGACAGGGGAGCGCTTCTGGGATCAATTTATCGCGTCCAGATGAGACGCGATAAATCGATCCCAGAAGATCAATCTCTACCCGCCAAATCGGGCGGGTAGTGTGAACCTAGCCTGACTGTGCTAGCTTTTCTCAATATGATGTAATGTTAAATTAGCTGTGAGACAATGGCCTTGTGGCTAAGGAATTAGACTGCAACTCAGGATATCTGGGGGGTTGCAAAGTTATTGTGTGTGGAGGGGGGAAGGGTTGTGGTACTGCTACCCTTACTTCTGCGCTGCTGCAGGCGGTGGTGCCGCCTTCAGAGCTGGGCACCTGGAGAGCAGCGGCAGCTGCCTGGGAGCCCAGCTCTGAAGGCTGAGTCACCACCAGCAGCAGCACAGAAGTAAGGATGGCATGGTATCAGGGCCGGCTCTACCATTTTTGCCGCCCCAACCAAAAAAAAAAAAAAAAAAGCTGCTCGGACTGCCGAAGCAAAAAACAAACAAACAAACAAAAAAAAAAAACGCTTGGACTGTGCCGCCCCAAGAATGGACGGAATGCTGCCCCATAGCACATGCTGCCCCAGACACATGCTTCCTCCGCTGGTGCCTGGAGCTGGCCCTGCATGGTACGGTATTGTCACCCTTACTTCTGCACTGCTGTCTGCAGAATTGGGCCCTCAGTCAGCAGCTACCATTCTCCAGCTGCCCAGTTCTGAAGGCAGCAGTGCAGAAGTAGGGGTGGCATGGTATGGTATTGCCACCCTTACTTCTGCACCGCTGGTGGTTGGGTGCTATCTTGAGAGCTGGGCACCCAGCCAACAGCCTCTGCTGTCCGGCCACCCAGCTCTGAAGGCAGCACAGAAAGAAGGGTGGCAATACCGCAACCCCCCTAAAATAACCTTGTAACCCCCCTGCAATTCCCTTTTGGGTCAGGATCCCCAATTTGAGAAATGCTGGTCTCCACTGTGAAATCTGTACAGCATAGGGTAAAAGCACACAAAAGACCAGATTGCACAGAGGGGTGGAGGGACCAGATTTCACAGTCCGTGATGCGTTTTTCTTGGCCGTGAATTTGGTAGGGCCCTACAGATAAGCTAACAAGGCCCAGATTTTTTAAGTATTTAGGTGTTGTGCACTCAGCATTGCAACTCCTAACTGATTTAGAACCCTAAATCTCATTTTCAAAAGGAATGTAGGCACTTAGGTGCCTAAGTCCCATTGACTGTCAATGGGATTTAGGCTTCTAAGTGCCCAACGCCCTTTTGAAAATGAGATGTAGGCACCTAAATCAGTTAGGCATTGCAATGCTGAGTGCCTCAATGCCTAAATACCTTTAAAATCTGGGCCCAGCTTCCTACCATCAATGGGAAAGCCCACTGAAGGCAAAGGGAGTCTTCCCATAGATTTCAGTGGGCTTTAGATCAGGCCCTTAATCTCAGTTCCTCGTCTATAAAACAGGGATAACAGTGCCTTCTCTGTCTCTTAGGCCTGGTGTACACTACAGAGTTATGTCAATGCAAGGCAGCTTATGTGGACCTAACTCTTAAGCATCTACACTAAAATGTAGCTCCCATGGATGTAACTACATTGACTTAACAACTCCACCTCCAGACAGGCATAGCACTTAGGCTGATGTAGTTAAGGTGACACAGTGTCCGTGTAGACACTGTGTTACTCACATTGCATGTTGGTTGTCAGTCCCATGTGGGGCTCACAGCTTGGGCCCCGTTGCTGGGGGCTGACAGCTGGAGCCCTGCCTTGCTATGTGTCTGTACAGTGCTTAGCACAAGGGGTTCTGATTTTATTAAGATTTATAGATGCTACAGCAATACAAATAATAGCATTTGCTAGTGATGGATTGAAGAATCCTCATGTGCTGTGAATTGAGCACATCAGCACTGGGGATTGAAAAGGCAATTCCAGACAAGAACACACTCTTACTATCACACACAAATTCAGAGCGAACAAATGTTTTCCCTGAAGCAGTTGAGCTGCACCTTTCTCAGTGTTTTCCTGCTACTGGATGCCCAGAGTAGTCTTGATATAGTTGAATCTCCACCCTCTGAACTCAGTGATGAGAAATATGAAAAAATGTGGCTTGGTGTAGGTGTTGGAACTGAAGAACCTTGTTAAGAATGAAGAGCTAGAAGACACAAACATAATTACTTGAATGAGAACTCATCTGTGACCACAAGAAGTGGAATTAGTGACCTCTCAAATGCAGATATTCTTCCATTATTTCTGATGTAGAAATCTTGAAAGAAAAGGTGAGATGCTTTCTCAGAAGATCACCTGCCCAAAGAGGTTTGTTCAGAGATGCCCCTGCCTCCTTTCGATCTTCACTCATCATTTTAGTGTCACAAATAAAGGGACAAACTGCTGTCTGTCTCACATATGTAACTTCCACTGATTTGTATATGTTTCACTGCAAGCAGAATTTGGCTCACCGGGTCCAAAACCTTCACTTCTTTCCCAGACTAATTCCCCCCCCCCCCCCCGCGCGCACACACACACATTTCCATAGGGTTTTGATTTGAGCAAGAACTGCTTGATCAGATCCCCTGGCAATAAAAGGCCACATTACCACAACGTGACCTTCACGTGCACACCGCAAACACTACCATCCCCTTTTGGAAGCATGCAGACACTAGAGTGCACAGCCTTTGGGTCGGGTGATAGACTAATGTCTCCCTGCACAGAATTAAACAGGCACAAAAGGAGGCTGAGTTGTGGCCCCTCTGCAAATGAGTCTCACAATATTTTTTCATTTACGTGTATGTTTCTTGTCTGTGTGTATGTTCTTTATTACTATTATTATTTATTATTCAGATCGTTTTTCCATTTTTAATTCTGTTTGTGTGCTTTTGTTTCCATTTATTCATTTCTGGAACTGTTGTATTTTCAGTTGATTTCATAGGTGGACTTGACACATACTGCTATCGGCAACCCCCCCTGGAACATGTTGAGTTAAAGCCTGTAAAGCCTGTAAGTAAGGTTTCAGTCATACGGACAATATTAATCCTTCTAACTGGACTGAAAACTACTCTTCTGCTCAAATAGTTTTGACATGCGATTACTAATGATTTCATTATAATTTACCACTAAACATGCTAAAACACTCTACACTTTATGGCTCACATCCGCCAAAACAATGATGGGTGGATATTTTTCATTTTATTATGACTAATTTTTTTTTACACTATGAAGCGTTGGGGTTGGCATCAGTGGGTTCAGAAACACTGAAGGGAAGAAATTCTTCTCTGCCAGCTGTGAAACTGGTATAGTGTAGGTATATTGCTGCTACTGCCGCACTGCCTAGGCCTTAATGCAATGACCCCTTAAAGGAGAGGCAGAAACTCTTATTTTTGGCCAGATAGTCTAATCTGTAGAAAATGACTTGCTGAGCCAATGCAAGTTCACCAAGATCAATCCATGGAGCATCACTAAAACTCAATTATCTCTTCACCACAAGTGACTTGCTTCCACAATTAAAATGCCATTGTTTCCATAGTTTATTCAAATAAAATATTCTCTAGTACATAAAAGCCACACTTCCAAAATGTTCCTTTTTGGTTTGTTTTTGTATTTGGGGTAAATCTATGCACTAGCAGACGTTAGCAATGCATCACTTTGGCAGAAGCTCAGATACCTTCAGATGTGGGACACTTCAAAGTATATTTGCAAAATAGATCACTTGAAAATTCTTGTCAGGTGTTTATAAATTGCTGTCCTGATCCTGTGTGTCGTGAAATTCACATCAGAATCTTTCATGCCTAGTAAGATGAAGCCAAAGTGCAGCTGACTAACTGAACTTGATGTGACACAATTTACTGTTTTTTAGCTAGCCGATAAGAGAATTAAAGGTTACATTTTTAAAACGATTTATTTAGAATGTTTTCACATGTTTACAAATCCTTGCCATGTAAATATCTGAAACAAAGCAATCATTATAACTGTTAGTTTTTGTTTAAAGAGGTATTATACAGGAATATAGTCATCAGACCTTTCTATTTAACAGGATGTCACCACATTATAGAGTCAAGTATCAGAGGGGTAGCCATGTTAGTCTGGATCTGTAAAAAGCAACAGAGAGTCCTGTGGCACCTTTAAGACTAACAGATTTATTGGAGCATAAGCTTTCATGGGTGAATGCATCCGACGAAGTGGGGATTCACCCACGAAAGCTTATGCTCCAATACGTCTGTTAGTCTTAAAGGTGCCACAGGACTCTCTGTTGCTGCTTACCACATTATAGAGTGAGCATCATTACAACACTTATGTCATTTCTAGTGATTTTATTAAATTGAGTAAAATCACTATATACACATATTTAACAGACCAGGTATGTCTATCAAATATTAATATTCAAAAAATGGACAGGTGTGATGTCTTTTTTGCAGGTGAATGTACTTTGTCTGAGTACTGAATAAAAGGTAACCAAATATCTAAATATTTGTCTGTCCTCTGTCTTTTTAAGATTGTTTTTGTTTTCCTGGTGTATGTGTTGGGGGATTGGAAGAGATCTGGAGGGGACTGTTAATTTAAAGAGAACTGTTACTTACACTGTGTTTGGGTTGGACATTTGATCCCTGAAATCTGAATTGGGTTTTCGTTACTCTTAGAATGTTGTCAAATATAAATTTTCCCTCATGTGCACCAGCATTTGGTTGTAGAAATGTACAAGGAAGAATGTTTCAATCTTTTTTACCATTACAGAGAGACTATATAGTGTGGAATTATGAAAGCCCCAAAAGAATAAGAAACAATTGCAATGTAATAGTGTGGGAGTGGAAGAAGTATCAAATTAAGATAACTAATAAGGCAAAGTACTGATCAGTTTATGATCATATTGCTAGGATCTGCATTTACAAAAGTATTCCATGAAGAGTTTGTCTACACATGGAATCATTCTGGAATAACTATTCAGGATTAGCTACTCTGGAATAACTATTCCTGACTAACTCCAAGTGTGGACTCTTTTTTCTGAACTAAGAGTGCCTTGTTCTGATATAGCTTAATTTATTTTTGATTAATCTAAACCAAAACAAGGTATTCTTACTCCTGAATAAGAGTGTCCATGCTTGAAGTTAGTCAGGAATAGCTTTTGTGCTTTAAATTCACACTCTATCTTGAATTAACTTTCAAGTGCAGATTAGCCATAAAATAATGCTTTTGTTGCACTGTGACGTGGGAGGAATGGCAGGGGCCTGGGTTTATTAAGTACACTGAGGTTTGGTTTGCACTTAAAAGTTAGGTCAGCAGAGCTAGGTAGCTCTGAGATGTGCAGACCAGCATAGCTATGCCAACCTAACCTCAAATGTACATGCAGTTATGTCAACAGAAGGCTTCTGTTGACATAGCTACCATTGTTCGGGAAGGTGGTGTTCCTACAACAATGGAAAAATCCCTTCCATCATTGTAGGCTATCTCTACCCTACACAGTTATGTTGGCACATAGCTTTGTTGGTATATTCTCCATAGTGTAGACATACCTCATTGAGATATTGGAGACCAAGGACATGGACTGGGTATCCACTGGGAAGAAGGTCATAGCTGCTACGTTTACATTTCTGATTTAAATGTTCTTCACTTTTTTAGTCTATGGAGTTGCTTCAATGTTGACTTTAAAGACCACTACTAATTTTCCTGAAGGGTTAGAGGAAGAATTGTGATGTCCAATATTTTATTAACCAGTGTACTATTATTGAAAAAAAAGAAATGAAGGAGTAGATTTTTCAGAAAAGGTGATTTCCTTTTTGATACTTCTACAAAATTTGCAACTACAATTGAATTAGGGGCACAAATTTTAGAATGTTCATATCAAATTACCTGTTTCCAAGCTCAGATCAGGTAGAGACACTTGAATGAAGCTTTGCACTCAGAATTCACTTTGTTGGTGGGCAGATTTTGTGAACATAAATTGCATCTGCTAAATGGGAGACCCCAATCTTTCCAGGTCCTGCTTGGGTTAACTTGTGAGACATAACAAGATCACAGCTGGAAGCCCTGCAGTCAGGGAGTATAAAACAATAATAAATGTCTTCAGTGATATTGTGGTTTTATGTAAAGGCAAGTACAAATAGGATCTTTGCTTAAACAAGGGGGAAGAAGAATTTCAATAATCAAGGTAAATTTGAATTAAAAGCCAAGCTGCAGGAGACAATTTGGATAGTCAGTGAACTGTGCTATCTGTGTGCAGTGCATCAACCTGCCTGCTTGTTGTCTTTCAGTAAGACAAGTGCTATCTATATCAATTTTAGATGGTCCAGGAATACCACAATCCCCATGAGGAATGGGCCTTTCAGTATCCAAACTGTGAAAAACTCCATTCCTTTTCACTTTGAAGTTGGAGATGAACAAGAAAGATACTTGTTAACCTTTATTAAGGCTCTTAATTCATTTTATATGTCTTTTACTGTCTTCATCACTTTACTCCTGGGGAAAAGTAAAAATGTGACTCTTTTTTATAGATTATAGCCAGGTTGGGCATTTGGTTTTCTCCCTCCTTATCATATCAGTGTGGTTTATTTTGCAGGCATTTGGTTAAGAAAGTATTGTAGAATTACCCCGTCTTCCTAAAATACCAGGGCATAGGCAGGTTCCTAAACTTTTATGAATCAGTTTGATTAACTCCCACTGAACAGCAAATCATAACCTCTTCTCTATTTGTGAATTGTCTTGCTCAGTACTTGGGAGTCACATTATAAGACTTCCATGGATTCTCATAGATTAACAAAGCATAGCACTTCAAACATGCAAAGTTATATGGCCTTATCAAAGCTGTGAAAGAGAGCTCTTTAGTCAGCTGTGGATAATTCATTTTCTTATATACGCAGAGGCCATATTATAGTATCTGTCTAGGGCTACCACATAATTATTAATGATTAGCAAGTCTAAGAATAGTTGTCCTTTTCACCCCTGAAGAGATACAAAAGTTAAATGCCTTCTCCTAGGAAGCATTTCTTTGTGCACACATAAATGAGCATAGCTTGTCAGTTTGTTGTTTGTTTACCTGGCACTCTACAGTATAGGTAAAGACACATTCTTTGCCCTGAGGTGGTTACAGTCTAGATGAAGATGTGCAGAAGTAAAGGAGGAGACAACACAGAGATGAAATAAGGAAAGAAATGGACAAGGGAGGGAGAGGAAAATCTGAATGTGTTCTCTTTGGAGGCAAAGGTAGACAGGTTATAAAGGGGATCATCAGGCTGAAGGAACAATACATTTTCACACAGTTCTAGGGCAGCATTAAGCTCTACGTTAAGTTAGTTGAGTGAGGATATAGAAAGTTTTGGTACAGGACTAGGGAAGGTAGTATATTTAAAAGAACAAAACCCAACACTTTGCCTCCCCGCCATAATCATAACTCTCTATTTTGTGTAGATAAAACCCCTGACTATGCTCATGTAACCAGGTTAGCTGGCCTTCCTCCTTCACAACTCTATGTGCGACAGGACTATCACACTGCCTCTGACCCTACACTGCATGCACATCCTCCAGGCACTGTGAATCAATATGAAATAACCACACAGATGGTCCCGAATACAGTGATTAAAAACATGGTCAGAGGGATGATATGTGTGGATGCACAAACTCAGCTGACGTATGGCTGTGAACCAAAGTTGTATGTGGATTCAGTTCAAATGTGTTTGCCATAACCAGGTCAGATGAGAGTGTCATGAGCCAGCATACAAAAATATGATTCATTTAATATGAATGAAGTCGAGGGAAATCCATCATTCTGACAGCTTCTGATACTTTACCAGCTGCAGCACCTTCTCCAGCTTCTGTCACCATCATGGCACACATCCCCTTTAACCAAAGGAGAGACCGGGGCGAGGGGGGAGGGGAGTCTCCTTCAAAACTGCCACAAATGCTTCCCAAGTGTGCGGCCATGCAGTCAGCATTTTCTCTGTTCCTAGGAGCCTATTCAATCGTGACCTTATACTTGGTCACCACCAACATAGGAAATGAACACCCAGAGGTCTATTATTATCTTGTTGATAGATTAGTAACTCATATATCTCTTCACAGGTCGAACTAAGTAATGAACATTGACTCAGCACTGCTGCTGTTGCTGAAGAAGCAGCCTTCAGAAGAAAAGACCAACGTTGTGAACCATTGTCACAGAAGTGACACGTCCTATATTTCTCACCGAGTGTGTGGATTGCTCTTCCCACATGGGACTGAATCCTTCAGTCGCAGCCTCAGTATCATCATCATCATCGCCATTAGATGGATACTTGTAGATGATCTTGGATTTTTTAAATTATTTACTTATATGAACACTTGTAAATTGTAAATTGTTTTCTTTTTTTAATTTTGTTTTTTACAATACCTAGTGTTAAGGCATGAAAACAAATCAACCTGTGAAAATTATGAGAGAAGAATGTGTGTTTCTCAAGAAACTCAGTAGTTCTGGACTGATACAGTCATACTGTGCCTGGCAAAGATAGTGTTGGAAAATGATAATATGACTCCAGAATACATGTCAGGGATCAGACACCTATAGTGTAATATGGACTGGCTTCAATAATGTATCAGACATTCACAAAGGCTGTACCTAATGTTGGTTAAGCTACTGTATGTTGTAGAAACTGATAAATAATTCTTCTTTTCCAGATGTCCTAATTACCAACGTGCTTGTCTAAATATTCTAATTCATATATGGTTTCTTCTCCCTCTTTTTGTCTCCTCCCCTGCACCCACAAACAGTAGTTGTCTGTGAGTTGAAGAGAAGTGAAATGGATGTTCTCTGTTGCTGTCAGTCTCCAAGAACCCTTAAACGCAGGGCTCTTTTAGATGTCTGTAATTTGCACATTTTTTTTTACTCTTTTCCCCTCTTCCCAGGAAGAAGCCAAGCATGAATGTACAATATAGGCACCATCTACAGCCTTAGGAGTCTCTGGGGTGAATTTTGTTCTTAATTTAAAAGTAAACAAGAAGATCTGGATATGAAAATGTGTATAAAAGTTTGTAAAGTTTTCTGTAAATACTTATAGAAAAAGGACATGTATGTAACTGTGCGGCATTTTGTTTTATATTCAGTCACCACCAGTATAAAAAGAAAAGTCATCCACAAAAGCTATTTTCTGTGGGGAGTTCGCAGTCTTTTTAGCAAGACTTTTTTCATAATTTCTTTTTTATGAATTACTATTTAAAATATTGCACATGATACAAGCCCAAGAGAATGAAGTCTTCTGTCTCTTCATGGAACCAGTACTCCCTCGGCAGCATCACAAGCTTCCTCAGAAAGGTCTGCCAATCAGCCTCAAGTTTTGGAAGAAAAACCTGTAGGGCTGTGAGAGCGCTTCCATCTTTGTGCTTACTAAGTTTGTTACTTCTTTGATGAAACTGTCAGAAGAGATGGTATTTGTGATGTGCACACCTGCACATGTCCATTAGGAACTGGACTGAGGCCACCAGGTTCTTTCATATAAGCCACAAAGAGTCTTTAGATGCTAATGACTTCTGGTCCATCATCAATGGGCTGAGGCATACAGCACCTCAACTAATTGTCTTCTGTGAAGCTTACTTCACTTGCTTTTTCTGTTATTGACAGATTACAACTAGACTAAGGCTTGCCTTAGTTCTTTACATTGGAAATTATATTTGTGCTATTTACCAACAAGAACCTAATCAAAAAGTCAGCAAACACAATGCTGTCCATCATTTTTAGATTGTTGAGAACAGAGGGTCTTGTGGTGCTTGCCCCTTTTTCACATTCAGCTCAACCAAAGACCACACTGTCTTTTGTGAAGAAATAGATCTTGCGTAATTTCACGTAGGCCACTTTTTCCAGGAAACTATGTATGAAACAACTGCCAAGCCAATAACAAGCAAGTATGACAATGCAATAAGATCACTTGTCAGTATTTTCTATGACTAGGTAGTACAGGACAATATGCACCGCTAGAAGTCAAACAGTGCCAAAAAAGGGGATACTTTGTGCAAAAGATAATACCACACTTCTCTGAGTTTCTGTGTTCCTCTGTTGTTCCCTGCTGCACCCTGATGCCAGATATTTGGTCTGCCCTGTCTTGAAGTCCTAGTCTTCTGAGAATGTCAAAAATGGGTATTTTGTCAAAAAACTAATATGAGAACAGTGATTTTTGAGACACCACTGCTGGACCTCAGAAGATCAAACTGCAGAACAGTTAATATTTGTAAATCGCTTATATTTGAAAAAAAAATGCCCCTCTGTAGGGTTTATTTTTTTAGTGTGTAGTCGTGCACATGATTTAGTTTCTTATACATACAGCCTTACATAACAACCTATAAGAATATGATACAGCTAACAGATGCCTACAGCTTTCTTTTATCTATGTCAGTGCATTTCAGAGTCGAGGGTGTTTTTTTTTTAAAGTTTTGTTAAAACTTGTTTATGTGCTTGAATACTCCACTTTTCCCTGCTCCACATATATAGGGGTGTTCAGCACATATTCCTGCAGTTCCTCCCTGCTGCCGGAGCCTTTGCCCATGCCAGGGAGCAGTGGGAGCTGCTTTTCACTGCGGTGTTTAGCTACACATATCCAACATGCCACCAGCAGTGTAGTCAAGGTCACACCTTTGACTGCAGTGTAGACATACCCTCCAATTGCTACATTTATCTCCTACCGTAAGTGAAGGGAAAAGCTGGTGATCTCAAATACCAACAGTAGCAAACTCTGACTTTTTAATGGCAAGCACTGTATGCTTCTCTGAGCCAGGCTGTTTAATTTCCTTTCACTTTAGATTTATCTGATTTAAAAAAACCAACCCAGCAATCTATCAAGGTCCTATAACAGTGTTTGACAGTGGCAAACAAAAATTGACATCCCAAACTAATTGGCTTGCCTCCTTCTAGAATCAGTCTCATTTAGTTTAATTATAATAAATTACAAGCTGGGAGCTGTTTTGTGCAGTGAATAAGTTTTCTTACAACACAGTAAAACACTATTATATACCCCGTTTCTACATACCTTCTTTGAGAAACCACTTCAGCTCTTATCCAGCATATAAAACCTTTGGCCAGAAACCACTTGTTTAAAAGTCTTCACTCCAGATCGTTTGCAGTGTTTTTATAATTGTCATAGTCCCAAAATATTAGAAAGGCAAGGTGGACAAGATAATATCTTTTATTGGCCCAACTTTTGTTGGTGAAGAAGAGCTCTGTGTAGCTCAAAAGCTTGTCTCTTTCACCAACAGAAGTTGGTCCAGTGGAAGATACTACCTCACCCACATTGTCTCCAGACCCTCATTCATCATTTACATATTTGGGGTGAGACCCTGCAAAGTTCTCAGCACTCTCAAATCTCAGTGAAGTCAATGGAAGTTAATGGCAGTCAGCCATTCATGTCTTCCTTGTGCATGTCTTTGCCATAATTTACCACCTGGTGGCAAACCTTTTTATCTACCTTAATAATACTAATTAGTACTTATTTGCAGATAAACTCCAATTATCAATAACTTAAAAATTTTGAAAGACCTAAAATTCAGAAATATCTCCTGGAATCAGAATTTTGTTTTTCCAAAATTCTGATCTTCTGATATATCCCCCACTAGTATATTAATCATTGTAGTGCTTCACATGTCCAAATTGTTAAACAAATTAGTCTCCTCAACAGCCTTGTGAGACAGGTATGTAAGAAGTAGTAGTAGCCTCATTTTACAGATGGGAAAGTTCGGTGTATGTTTCAAATGCATTTATGTGTGAAAAAGACACCTTTCCAGATGAAATGGCATTTAAATATATTTCCACCACATTTGCTTTTTCAGTTCTTTCTTCCATCAATACTCAGAACTTCTCTGATATATCTAAATTACTATATAATCTATATCTGTATTGTGACATTTATTTGGAGGCGGGTGCCAATAACGCTGTTATGACGCTGAGAAATATAGCCATGTAAAACGATTCCATTGCATAGTACTCATTCTGAAGACTATTTGCAATGAAACCAAAGGCAGCGTGCAGAGCAGACAAACTGGACAGCCTGCCTCCTGTTTTCTTCCTACATTTCAGAGGCCTTGGCTACACTGGCGCTGTACAGCGCTGCAACTTGCTGCGCTCAGGGGTGTGAAAACGCCCCCCCCATGAACGCAGCGAGTGCAGCGCTGTAAAGCGCCAGTGTAATCAGAGCCTGCAGCGCGGCACGCTCACTCGTAGCGCTGCAAGCTACTCCCCTCGGAGAGGTGGAGTACATACAGCGCTGCGAGAGCTCTCGCAGCGCTGGCAGCACGACTACACTTGCACTTCACAGCGCTGCCGTGGCAGCACTGTGAATTTCCAAGTGTAGCCAAGGCCAGAGTGAGACAGATAGGGGAGTAACAGAAAGCAAAGCATCTGGGCTGGAAAAAACAGTAATAAAGGATCAAATTAATCTCAGGTGTAACTCCAATGAAGTCACAGGGGTTATAAAGGGATGAATTTGGTGCCGGGCATCTTGTGAGCCTTCTAACTGCATAGATATTTGTATTGATTGTTATTTGACAGCCTTTTCTAAGGTGTGCTCTTTACCTCACTGTTTGGCTGACTGTTTACATTTGTACTTCTCACTGTAATTTCTGTTTCTTGCATGTCCATTATGTGTAATGTTTATGTTTACGGGGCTCTTTATTTTTAAACAAATGAAACACCTGGATCTAATCCCTACTCCCCAACTTTCACTTGCATCTGCTCATCAGTTCCGCTTAACATGACAGGAGAGCATGTGAAGTGCTTCCTTGTTGTAGTCCTTCAGGGAATAATTGCCATTGCATGTCTGTTGCCATTCAAGACTAGCACCATAATTGGGAGCTAGTACCACTAAATAACAGCTGCTGAGAAGCCACTGATGTTCTCACTGTATTGCTAGCGCCACAAAGAATTATTGAACAGTGTAACTGACGTCACAATGCATGAGCTGTTTTTCCACAGTTCCCTAGTTACTTAATTCCAATCGTACAAAAGCATGTTTTTGGACACATGTAGCCCAGGCTAAACCCACTGAAGTTGTTAGAGTTACACCTGAGATTAATTTGGCCCAAAGACACTACCATTAACCTATTCCCAGTTGTTACAGGGAAATAGTGTACCCAATCAATTCATGTGGTATCATGTTGATGGAGGGGTGACAGCATTTGCTAGCATGTGACATGTTTGAAGTGAAAAGCATGTTATATGTAAGCCAATCGCTTCATATGGGGAATAA